TTCCTCCTTTGGACTCCAAAACAAAATGTTCCAAATTTGAACCAATCTCCTTTCACACTTCTTAGTCCGATATCTTTGAAATGTCCTTACCATTTGAACTCCTTGAAGATAATTTTTCTTGACTTTTATCAAGAGTATTCTTAGGTAACTTCAGTTACTTAAGATGTAATTAACTATAGGGGCTTGCCCTTATAGGAAGCTTTTCCCGAACCCAACATACTATAAACCCTATTTAATTCTTTATATTAAATGAGAGAATTTTTCGGCCAATACATTGGTTTCGTAGACCAAACGGATGTCATAACTTTCTTTAGTTTATTTGATCAAGCCTCACCCTCAATTCTTGTGTTCATCCTTCGGGATAGATACAGGATTTGAGGTAAAACGCTCTTTCATCTAAACTATGAAAATTATTGGGTCAGTTTGACTTCATCTTTTTCAAAATTAAATTTTTTTAAATATCCTTCCGAAGTAGGCAACGGGATTTCAATTCCGATAACCGACAGCTTCTTACGGGCAAACCCCACACCAAAAATAGTGCCGACAGTGAGTTCCATCTTCAGTCTTCTAGGATAATAAAAAGAAAAGTTCTATGGCTAGATTCTAAGCACTAAGAAGAAAGAAAGACCTCACGAAATAATGAGGTCAACAGTCTTACATCTTCTTAGTATTTCCCACTTTCAAGATAAAGGCATCTGCAGTGATGGAGGAACCAAAGAGACTGGAAGAATACTTGAGAGTCATCATGTCAAACCAAGAAAATGATCGAATGATGAAAGGAAGAGTGAAGAATCAGAAAATAGAGAAGAAAAACTAAAAGTGTAAAGCATAAAAGGCAACCCTTAGCCTTATTCATAAAGCGAGGCCAAAAAAATATCACACCAAATATTAGTTCACGTAAATTAAGTATTATTTTATTTCAAATAATATCATTACATGTCACATAGGAAAAAATTTATAGAAGGATTTTCCTCTGCTTCATCCGAGGCATGCCACTTCTAAAGCATCCTCGGGAAGACCATCTCAGCACCAAACCTAAAATTTCCCATCCATTCGATACCTTGAATAAATTTGCTCAGATTAGTCGACTCACAGATAGGCCCTAACGCAGTGTGCCCATCTTCCATGGATCATAGGAGTGATACAACTGCCTGCTAATGTCAGGCGATCTTTACTGAAGTGGGGCAATCCCTACTTCCAGATGCTCTCAGCAAATTAGCACTCTGACTTGGATGCTTCGATGGGATTTTCAATCGCTTGGGTCGAAGGGAAAACGATCTTCACCATTTGGTTAAAAACTGAGGTGGAGGACAACTGTGGACACTATAATCGCTCTTGTTAGGAGCCATTGAAGTGGTCGATCGACGCACAAAAATAATGTTCTACCGCCGGAAGAAGTTTCAAAACTAATCTTAAAGGACGATAGCAATCATCGAGGTAGAATCAATGACATCCTATGATAGCCCACCAATGATTCGGGCGTCTGAAACGACCAACTCTTGTGGATTATTATGAAATTATCAAGAAGGAATTTTTCTACATACCTAATAATCTATCTCTTTTGGAAAGAGTTATAAATACTCCAGTCCTCTAGGTTAGGGCATCTCCATCCTTACTTGGCAAAGTAAGCAGGGGGACATCAGCCGTCGACTTTTCTCTCGCTCCCTCTTGATCGACCTCGATGAGAGCAGTGACCCACTTTACCACCTCAGCAGTAGCACTAGCTCTCATGTCAACAGACAGGCAAGCGTCCTCCATCGATTTCCTCCTCGTTGGTCGAGTATCAAGGGAGTAAGAATAAGTAACATTCTCGATCGGCTCTAGATCGGGTGTCGTTCATTTATTTTTCTTATGAAATCTCTTCTTCTTCTCCATTATAGAAGAATCAAGAAGTCGGAAGACTTCCAAAGCTAGAAGATGGATGCCCATTTCCTTCTTACTCGAACCATTAGCCATGGTATCAATCAAAAGTCTCATAGCATAGATAAGGAAAAGGAAAGTGCAAAGCCTCTAGCTCTATTTATAGAGTTCATTAGGAATAAAAAACAAGTGAAAGTTGATTTTTGAATTAACTTTCTCGATTTATGTGCAATTAACTGCTTAAAAATTTTTTTGTTCTTATCATAGCTATCGTCATCAAGGAGCAGAAAAATCAAGAAGCTAAATATGTATACTACAAAAATGCCAGAAAGAATCTCTAGGAAATCAGCCGATCAATAATAAAGGAGCATGAGTGAGTTGTAGGACTGCAGAACAGATAACTCGGCAGCAAATAGTTGAGCGGCTTTGTAGCATAAAAAACGATATAATAGACCATTAGAATCTCTTCAGGGGAATCTGTCGATCGACAAAGTTACCAATCAAGAGATTGCGAACGAAGGTCCGCACACCCTGGTATTACAACACAATTGCAAAGAAGAAGATGCGATCGACTGACATGATCGACCAATACATACACATTGCGAACGACCGACAAAGCTGGCTGACCTCAAGGTTTTGGACGATCAATCATGCATCGCATCTATTTCTATTACCATGTAATTTGAATTAAATGATTCAGAAAATTATGGAAAGTGCTCTTTCCTCACATGTACTTATATTCTCACACCCCTATAAATAGGAGGTCTTGTATCAATAAAGGAACCTTTTAGATCATAGAAAAATTTTGTCATTTAAAGATTAACTTTCATTTAGCTCTCTCTCTCTCTCTCCAACTTTCTTTCTTGTCTCTCTCTCTCTCTCTCTCACTTTTTCTTTATTGGCTCTAACTTTTAGAACTTTCGGAACGTGCTCCACCACAAAGCAATTTAGAATTCAACGTGTGTGTGTGTATATATATATATAGATGAGTTTGGGGTCT